CATATGAAACTCTGCAGAAGTTTCTTCTAGTTATGTCACTTTGAATGAATCATGCAGGCCCTAACACGGCATGTGGGCTCGCAATCACCTGCCTCTATCTGTCAGGTGGCAACCTGTAGGATTGGCGCACATGCTGCAGATGGTGGGCTTCGAACCAAGTCGCAGTCCCTGCATACGACCCCCACCCCCACCCCCACCCCAAAGGCACTCTAATGCTCATCTCAGAGATGCTGACTGGGACCCAGTATATACAAAGCAGACTAATTATATATAGCAAGAAGTCATTGTGGTGAGAGATTTATAGTGAACAGGAACCTTGAAACGGAAGCAACAGGGGGCTTCACTAACAACGCTCCGGTCCGTGGTTTGAGGAGAACCTTTCTCTTGTGCCGTTTCCGTCACAGGATGCCAACCGAGACACTAAAAGTATCTGGACGAATGAGAGCCAGTAATGCACTTGGAATCCCATCCGTATTAAGAGATTTTTTTTCAGTTCTGCCCTCCACTGCATCTCATTTTCTATTTATATCGTTCTGTTTGCAGTAAATCCAGGAGTAAAAGACAGTCACAAATGAGTCACTGGGGCTTATGCAGACATGCCACTTCCATGGGGTGGAGGAAGTCTGCACATCCTGAGCACCATTCCCTTGTGGCACAGGTGCAAAGGGTTAAGTTTTGGCTGGTCACTGGTGGGTGGCAAAGAGCACGGATAGCGTGACCCCGTAGGAAGCCGGCTGGAGGTAAGCACAGTGACGCGGTGGCCCGGGGACGGGCAGGGATATTCCGCCACTGTCTGTCTGTTCCTGCAATGCCTCCACTTGGGGCATGTGTGGGCACACTGTTCTGTTTACACCACAAGATGAAGCGTTGTTTCCTGACCTCTTTTTAAATTTCTGTGTGATTGAGGTTTGAACGTAAACAGCATTTGTGTCGCACTTGATGTGTGATGTAATAATTGAAGAAGGTGCTGCAGGATAAGTGGAAATCAAGTGAGGAAAAAGCTGTCCAAACCCAAAGGCAATATTATTTTCGAAGATTATTATTTTGTGAAAATTCAGTTGACAATTTGATTTTTTTTTTAAATCCTTTGTATTTTTATGGGGTGGGAGGTCTTTAACGTTTTGAGTGATTTATTTTTAGTTTAATAACTGTGCCAATCCAGTTGCTATATATTATGTTTCTTCCTCTCCTACCATTCACACACTTCAAAGAGACCTTGGTCTTACTCTGAGGTTGGCAGTGAGGTGATTCTGTCCATGTGGTAATTCTGCATTGGTTGGCAGTTTCAGTATGATAACAATTTATTTATTGACTCTGATGTTTATTTCATATGACCTCTTGTCTGTTCTGAATGTTTGAACTGTATGTCTGCTGAATGTGGTAATATATCTAGGGAAGGCGGGAAGGCTTCATGTGATCTGGAGCTGACTGGTTTTCCAGGTTTGAACCCTACATTTCAGCTATTGTCTGTAAATAATTTTATTGTACAATATGTGTGTGTGAGTTTGAGCATCATTCAGCTTTTATTTTAAGAGTTTGAGTATGGTTCTGTACGTGTATGGAAATGCATCAGGCTTGACTGTCTGAAAAGGGGTTTGTCCATTATGTTTCAGTACAGATGTGAATCAAATTGGCTTACGGCATAAAATTTAGTTTCTAGCTCTACATAACATCATTGCTGACAAAAGTGAATCTGTTATCCTGCCCACCTTGACAGATGCTTTCAGATTGTCAATAACGTGCTGTGAGTTCAGTGGTCCAGTACTGTCAGACTGGCACAATCTTGGCCTGTTCAAGTGAGTGAGAGAAAGAGAATGTGATGCTTCCTGGTATGACCTTCTTCTGATTACACACAAATACCGTTCAACTATATTTTACTTGCTAATGATTTACACGAATCACCATGAACTAGGCTTAACACACCAATCTTAATGTTGCTAGATGGTGATGTCATTATATACAATTTACATAGCAAACCACAAAAATGCAATCAGTCGATGACAAAATTAGTTGTCAACTATTTGTATTACCAATGACCAATTTTATTAATTGTTGCAGCCCTACTTCATACTTTGAAATATTTTATCAAATGTTTTGTCCATTAGGTTTAGCTTTGTGAGTTGTAAATAGAGCTCTGTTTTTGTGTACTAATTAAAGACCATTAGACAATTGGGTTTGCCAGTCACTGGATGTAAACAGACAGGATTAACAAGAGCTGTTGCCAGGATTTTAGGACTGTTGTAGAATTCACGCCCCCAGCTCTTATGGAGTAAATAGTCTGGGTTGTTGGTAACGTCTTTGCATACTAATGTTCTGGAAGTGCTAAGAATGTATTAGCTGTTTTTCAAGCACAGGTAGCTGAGTGTTCAGGGTGCAGCTGCATCTCCAGTCAATTTGGCAATTTCATCGTTGCATTTGCGTGACGGGAGTGGGTTTTTAAGGGTGTCCACCCAGAAATAAAGGCAGGCAGACAGACTGCAAGGACCTCTATGTGATGTAATTAAGCATTTAAAAAATACTAAGTGTGCATCACTACACATATGAACTAAGCAAAGTACAGCAACAGGTTTTGCCTGGATAAGTGGAGGCAAGACCCAGGGTAGCAGGAAAAGCCTTTTGAAGAACCTTGCATCTGTTGTGTTAAAATTTTCTTCAGGAGATACTTTCGACTGCCAGCCAATAAACTGCCTAGTAAAATAAAGGGCAAATGTTTTTTGTTCTCAACACTATCAAGTCAGTCAAAAAGTCTTTATTGACAATTCTGCCGTATGTACAGGACACACAGAGGATTAAAATTTTGTCACTCTCAGACCCTATGGTGAATGCACTAACACAAACGAGACAGACGTGTGTGATGTGTATGTGTGGTGAGTGCCAAAGGATGACCTCATGCTTTATTTCCCATTTGCACGAGTACAGGTAAATTGGAATTCTTCTTTTTTTATATCTCATCTTCCTCTCTTGAGATATTAATATACAATACCCGTCACCTACCCATAAAATGTTTTTTTGTACTATTCTCCATTTTAGAATAATCATAAAGATATAAAGAAAAATGCATACTGTCTTGGTCAGTGCATAATTCTGTGTATATATATTTTTTTTGTTGGGGAGCAGGTCTCTGGGTTGGGACGGAGAAGCTAAAATCCTGTGGTCAGCAGTTGACGCTTGAGCAAGGCCCTTAACCCCAATTGCTCCAGGGACTGGTTGACCCTACTTTCTCCCCTATGCCAGTTTCATGAGGTGGCCTCCTGGGATGCGTTTCCAGCTGTCCTGGAGGAGTTCCCACATATATACTCATTGGCTGCTTTTCCTTCACACTCCTGGTAAAACTCCACCAGAACCATTTCTAATGTGTTCTAAAAGCTGTCTAGTCGTGTGATGCGACACTCACTCTCCTTTGCAAGCGGCTTGGTGTATCCAAACTTTTCACCGGTACTGTATATTTTACACTCGCACACAAACACACACACATTATACAGCTGAGAGTAAAGCTTCTGGTCCAAGTTCAGGGTCAGGCCATTTATCTGGCACCCCTGAGCATTTTGGGGGGAGTTTAGAGGTCCAACAGAAGTGTGACTAGTCTGCCAAGGCTGGGACTCGAACCGGTGACCTTCCATGTGCGATGCTGCTAATTTGTAATGGATGTTTGAAAGGAAACTTTCTAGTAGTCTTTGTGGTTGGACACTAACTTGGATGGGTAGGGGTAATTTTTGACTATTAGGCGTTTTTGAGACCACGCATGTAATTTTTCTCTGTGCAGCTCACATAGCTTAATGTTTCTAGTGAAGACTGGATTTTCTGGTAATCGCCAGTAATTGGGCCTTAAAGCAGGAGAGACCTGTTCTAATGTGTTAATTAGTGGCTTGAATTGGTTCTGCTGCATGCAGTCAGTACTCTGTGCCAAGGCAGTCAGCGGACTGAAGATGTTCTCATTATTTATTTTTAACAATTTTATTTTCACAGAAAAATATGAGCTGTCACCTGTTTACCTCAATAATGAGCGTATTGTGTTTTTAATTGCTAGTCTGATTCACACGCAGAGCCTGCCTGTGGATTGGAGACCCCCCCCCCAGCCATTATTCTGCCTCATACACCGCTTGTTTTCCCAGGACCGACTGGCTTAATGAACACGGCTCATTGGGCGATTGTCTCCTGAGAGCACACATTGTTACACGTGCATCGCATGTGCCAGTGGCATGATGGCTTCAAAAGTGGCTCTCCATCCCAGCTCTCGATTTCAGCAAAGTTAAATTTATTGGCCAGCAGCTGGCCGCTGCTTTAAATTTAGCAGAGCAGGTGGTGTGGAGACGTGGCTCCATATTTATCCAGTGGGGAAGTGCCCCCAGAGAGCCATGTCAAAACAATGCCACGAGCTGTCCACCGCAGGCCTGCCCCGACTGACGCAGGCCTGACTATGCTGTGCTATGGCAGGCTTCAGAGGCCCTCACTTGTAATGGAAACCCCTGTCCCCCTTTGCTCCACCTGCCAGGGGCTACCTGAAATAATTTGGCTAATTTAAGACTTTCGATGCTTATTTATAGTCTATTTACGTGACCCGAGAGTTACCGAACACGCTAACTTCCTGAGGTACCAGGAATTATTGGGAAATAAAAGCTGTCCGCTGAAGCATGACTCAGACCTGGGCATGTTCATGGCGGCGATGCAGGTGAGCGGAGACGGCCTCAGAGCCCTGTGCCTTATAAGGAGCTTCCCCGCTGGCTTATCAGCTGCCATTCAGCCTGCTCTGATATTCCTTATTAGCAAAGTGCTCAGTCTGCATCTCTGTTATGAAATTGGGATCACAGCCTCCTGGATACATCTCCTGTCCTCGAGTGTCACCTTCTGTTTCCAGTGCCTTATTTATGTAACTCGGAACTGAACCGCTCCTTCCTGTCGTCCACAGCGAGGCGGCTGGGCGAGCAGTGGGGTGCAGAGCTCGGGGTGGGGGCGTGTGTGTGTGGTGGGGAGAGGTTCTCCATGCGGCAGTATGTTTGATCGCCGCAGCCCCTAAGTGACCCCCCCCCCCGGGGCTCTGTGACACATGGTTTGCTCCAGGGATGCTAGTGGCGCTAATTACCTGACCGTAAAAGAGACGGGAAGGTAAAAGGGGTGACGAGATTCTTCGTTTTGGTGGCGGCAAATTAAAAATAACTTTCAAATACTAACACAAATACGTAGCTTGCATGTGTAACATGATGTATTAGTTAACAAGCACCTGTAGCCCTGAATCTTATGTACGTAATTTAGTTACATGCTATTATTATTTTTCTTTAATTTGAATGCACTGAATTTTAGGCAACAACACTTTCATTTTTCATAATGAGGACTCATTTGTTAAATGTGGTAAAATAGGATTCGCGGGGGATATTATTAAATCTATGTACTTGTTGCATAACAGTGCAGGCCTTTCCTATTAGACTTATTGGACGTGCTATTTTTAGGCTGGGGGGGGTGGCGTGGGGGGTACTCCTCCTCCCAGAGCTTTAAGCGTGCATTTGTTTGTGACATTGACTGGTGAATGTTGTCACTGTCATGTGGCAAGTCGGGGTGCTGGACGCTTTTTACTGTCAGCAATAGCAACTGTTTTCTTGACATTGTTGGACACCCCCTCCCCCTCCCCTCGGAAGCAAAAGCTTGATCTGAAGTGAAAGGTAAGCAAGGTCGGTGAGTGGGGGGTCGTGGGGCTGGCAGATCAAAGGCAGTAACGCGGGGTACTTGCTCCCTTTGCTGTGGCAGTTTTCCGTTAGGGCCGCTGCCTGCTGTCTCAGGTGCGACAGGCTGCGTGTGTCACCTACAATCTTACCCGCTCCCTTCTGTGACTTTTGACGTTCTGGTCCAATGGGAGACCTTTTTCTGCTTTACTGAAATCCTCTGGATGTGTGTCGTCTTCTCCCATGAAGCTTGATAGTGACGTTAACCCAGGTGAATCGGCTTTGAACTTGAACATTTGTTCAGCCTGTTAATTGCTTTTTTTGTTTCTCAAAGCATTGAATTAAGTGGATATTAATTTAGCTAAGTATTAGCATTTAAAATATTGATACTAAATAGCCTTGTGCACTGTTGTGGCAACACCTCTCCTGGTGTCCCCCTGTGTGATGAGCGGCTATAAAAAGCTATGTTGAATTAGGATTACTTTTGCATGTAGGATTTCTCAGATCTGTAGTTAAGTTTGAAATGCTGTTTCCCGTGCTTCCATGAGCCCCCTTCTGACTCTGCCCCGCTCTCCCCCAGGCTGTTGATGGAGTTCTGTCAGGGAAGCGGCCATTACTGCCACGCTCAACATCTCGGTGCCCGGCTCTGAGGACGATGTTCCGTCCTCCTGCCCTGCCCTGACACCTCCCGAGTCTCAAGGAGAAAGACCAGGCCGTCCAGCTGCTTCCTGGCGTTCCAGCGGAGCGACGCCCCAAAGCACACCCATGGGTTAAGGTGCCTTCGGAACTGGGCCAGCGAACGCCAGCTGAGTGCTTCCGTTGCTCAGGACGGATTTTGAGGGCTCTCTCTGTGGCAAGCACTGGGCTTTTTTTTTTTTTTTTTTTTTTTTTTTTTTTTTTTTTTTTTTTTGATTATTAATTATTGTCTGGGGACCTCTGAAATCTGGCCCCTTTTCTCTGGGAGTGGGCGCTGACATCGTCATGGCCAGGATGAACCGGCCCGCGCCAGTAGAAGTCTGCTATAAGACCATGCGCTTCCTGATCACACACAACCCCACTAATGCCACCCTCAGCAACTTTATTGAGGTGAGAGACCGTCGTCTTGGGAATAGGCCTTCGGCAGGGTATAGTATCCAGTATTTCTGGAAAAGTTGAAATGTTGGATAAAGGCCTAAAAAACTAGCATGCTAACTAGCTGTGGTTTGCTTTGTTTGGAGTATATTTTGGACACAGTTGGACCTGATGTTCATGAACTCAGCTACTGAGTATGGTTCACTGGCTGTAGGCTTCTGCTGTTTTTGTTTTTTGTTTGGGCCTGTAGTAAAAGAACCACAGTTGTTGCCCTGATGCATCCCCTGCAACCGATCTGCGTTTCGGATAAGAATCGCATGCTGGGAGGTGGCCACATAGCTTGCATTATTTCATAGGGAGATCTGCGAGAGCCAGGTCTTATAGGATAACCTCTGCTGAAAACCTCCTGTTGCCATGGATACCAGTCATAGGGCCACAGTCGCATAGCAAAGATAAAAACGGAGGGAGTTAAACAATGCCAGGCCTTCATGGATTTAGAGTAGAGTGCATTGTGGGTCATGTCAAATTCCTGATGGCCCTTAAAGGCATACGCCTTACCGCCACAGCCCTTAAAGGCATATGCATTGTTTCGATTTCCTTCTTTCTTCCCAGCTAATACCCCCCCCCCACACTCTCTCTAACTTTGCAGGATCTGAAGAAGTATGGAGCAACGACCGTGGTGCGAGTGTGTGAGGTTACGTATGATAAAACACCGCTGGAGCGGGATGGCATCACGGTCATGGTGAGTGGTGAGGTGGCTGGGGATGATGTGCATACGGGCTTCCATCTGTCCATCCATTTATCCTTCTGTGTATCTGTCCGTATGGCTGTCTGTCTCTGTGCTTCAGATGCCATTTCTTGACGTTTTACATTTTGAAACTTCGTGTGCTTTTAAAAAGAAGCAGACATTTCTGTTGCGCTCTCGCTGCGATGACCATCCGTGTTTTGGGTTGCATCATGATGCATCACGTTAAGCTGGCAGCCCCAGAACCAACAGCCCATATGTGACGCACAATCCAGCCTGCTTTGTCTGGCCCTGCTGGATCCGTTTACATCTGGATGGAAATTTTCTGCATCCACCACCGGCCCCCCCGCCTCAACTGTAGCCTGTCTGCACAAAGGGAGAATCCCATGATACATCCAGAGAGTCTTTGGCGAAATAGATTTCTATTCGGCAAGAAGCAGCTAGTGGCTAGAGGACCCATGTTGAGTGTGAATCCCCCCCCGCCCTGCCTCTCCCCGTAGCTACAGTGTGGTGTCATTACCCACCCTATAGGGCTGAGCACAGCCGGCTTCCAAACCCCACATGTGTTTCTCATTTCCCCTGTCAACATTTCCCAGTTGCCATGGGAGTCAGTGAGGTCCCTCCCCCCCCCCCCCTGCACAGGGCCTGGCAGGGGCTCTCTCTCTTTCTCTCTCTCTCTCTCTTTCTCTCTCTCTACCTCATAAAAACAACACGGGGGCCTGATATGACGCGCCCTCCTGCTTAACATCTCCCTCGTCTGTCCCTGTCCAGTGATTGGCCATTTGACAAAGAGGAGCAGGATCAGGTGCAGCTGCTTTGCGACCCCTGCAACATTCACAGATGCCCCTCTGGCGTGGCCACTGCTGGCTGCCTGCAGCCTAGCGCAGCTGGAGTCTGGCTCTGCATAGAGTAACTGTGGCTGTGCAGCTTCTCTTTGTAACATAAGGAGATGCTGTTTTCCCTGGTCGCCGCCTGTGCTGAGGCAGGCTGCTTTGCAGAGGCGTGGCAGTCGATGCCGGCTCCAGCAGGATGTCGGGGGGGTCGTATTGACACGCGGCAGGTGCTGCGGGCCGTCGCGTTGGGGAAGCGTGGGGAGCGACGGCTGCGATTAGAGCGCGTCTTAGAATGGCTCTGCGCCGTTAATAGCTTACTGTTGACATTCCAGAGGCAAAATGTTAACCTTTTACTGGATCTGAGAGTTATTTTTAATCCGGTAGATTCTTGAGAGAGCTCCAGTCTCAACCTAAATAAAGCTCGGCAAACTTTTCTTTTATGAAATGTACATGAGTGCTGTTGACTCTGGATCAACACAGGTTATTTTTAAAGTGCTGTTCACACTGGCAGTATGGGCTGTACATCTACTTAGACTTTGGCTGCCCAGAGGGGATGATTCCTCTTTTGCCAAAAAGCCAAGAGACAGTGTCGTCCCAGCACCATGTCAGAGTAGTTTGGAGTGGCAAGTGTACATGGTCGCTACTGACGGAGAGCTCTGCTTTGCCTTAACACATTTAACCATCTATCCATACATGTTTCATGCCTCTTCTCTAGTGCAGGGTTGCAGGGAGCTTGGATCCTATCCCAGGCAGCAAAGGGCACAAGGCTGGGGACACCCTGGACAGAATTGAATGCACATTTCCTAACACACTGAGTTGTGAGTGTTACGTATTATGTTCTGTTAGACATTGCATTATCAGTCTTATACGGACTGTAGCATGTTCTTTGTCATTCCTGGGCAGCCTGCTTGTCTCCTGCATGCTGACAAAACGTATAGTTTCGTGTCGGGAGGGATTGAGGCGTGTGTCGTCCCCCCCCCCCCCCCCAGCCTTCATGGCCGCTTCCTACAATGGTGGAGGCTGGGGACACTGCTTCTGTGTGTCTGGGATGGCGGGGTATTAAGCCGAAAACCCTAAAGCCATCTGAATATCGCAGTCATGACATTTCGGATTAGTGAGCCTCTAGCAATTTATATTAACGACAGAAGATCCGTGGCCGGTTGAGGCTTTTATGTCAAATTATTATTTTCTTAATCCCTTTTAGAAATTAAAATCGAATTCTCTCTGTATTAATGGAGAGTGGGCTTCCGACAGGATAGTGAAGTACTGCAGAAGTGGGGGACAGAACAACAGGCAGACAGACAGCAGCGCCAGGCGCCCTAACCGCTGATTATTACTCCTGTACCTTGGTGATCTTGTGAAGGTCCTAAGTGTAATTCCATTACATGCTGAGAAGATGCCAAGTGAAGCAAACGGAGGCGTCTCAGCTGCTGATAAAAAAAATCACATTAGGACGCTGATGCCGAGAGCGCCACCTTCTGCTCTAAGGTATAAACTACACTGTGCTTCCTATCCACATGTTGCCCCAGTAGTATCCTGACGCCCAGTCATTGGAGTTGGGGTTCCAGCACAATGAGCTGCCATCTTCCTCACCTCCCCGAGAGCGAATGCTCTGTGAATTCGGGCAACGCACTTACGGTGGCGGTGCTTCTTCCCCATTCCCAGGACTGGCCCTTTGATGACGGAGCCCCGCCCCCCACCAAGATTGTGGACGACTGGCTGGAACTGCTGAAGAGCAAATTCTGTGAGGAACCGGGCTGCTGTGTGGCCGTCCACTGTGTGGCCGGACTGGGCCGGTGAGTCCTGGGGCTGCTTATTTAGTACGTCTCCTGAATTATACACTCAAGACCATTTAAGAGGGTTTTTTATGACCTTTTTCATTGCTCCCAAATAACTATCGAATTTTGTGTGTTTATCCGTGTTGTTTTGGCCGTTTCAATGTCGGTTGGCTGTAATTGTGTCGGCACTCCTCTTTCTGAGCACGATTTCTGACGCATTTCACCCCCCTGGGACCCCGGCCTGCCGTTCCTGTAAGAGCTCCAAGGCTGCTTTAAATTCATGTGCTTGTTTTTAATAATCTTCAGATGGGAACTGCTGTACAACAGTGGGGACTCTGCTCTTTTAGAAAGTTTTATTTGTTGAACACAGCATTAAGTCAGAGGGAGCCTTAGCCCATCGCCATGTTCTGACACGTCCACAAAGCTTTGCTCCTCTGTCTTCTGGACTTCCGCATTTTATAGTGTTTTATATCCCCCCCCCCCCCCCCCCCCCCCCCCCCTCACTTCAGGAAGACGGTCCAAGCCAAGCGGCATAACAGCTCATGGATTATAACAAAGCAGCCCTTTCCCCTTCCTTATTAGGTCACAAAGTGAGCCTCGGCTCTCAAACAGCACAGTCTTCCTGGCTCCTCGTTGACATGTTGTCATTTAGCATTGTCTGAGGCTGATTGCCGTGGCAACGTCATAGCACCTTGGTAGAGATTTACATGTTAGACCCACCAGACAGGCCAGAAACCCCCTTTGGTGGAAACTGTTGCAGTTTCCCGTTAACCTGGGCAGGTGTGCATGTAGTAAAGGAGCATGCTGGTGGCTGTCAGGGCTATTCACCGATTGGTGGCCCTCTCTGCAGGGCTGTTCACCGATTGGCGGCTCTCTCTGCAGGGCTGTTCACCGATTGGCTAATTTCTCTGCAGGGCTCCCGTCTTGGTGGCATTGGCCTTGATTGAAAGTGGAATGAAATATGAGGATGCCATACAGTTCATCAGGCAGTAAGTACATTCTGTGTATTATGTATGTCATTTAGGTGCCACTGGAGTAAAAACAACTTCATTTTGCTGTTTGGCAAATGATGGTTGAAATTCCCAAAATTCTACCTGGAGGGGGGTCGGTGGCCAGTGCCCCACTTGTTTTTGTTCTTCAGGAAGCGCAGGGGGGCAATTAACAGCAAGCAGCTGACCTATCTGGAGAAGTACCGGCCCAAGCAGAGACTTCGTTTCAAGGATCCTCACAACCACAAGACCAAGTGCTGTGTCATGTGACTCTAGGCCCTCACCCCCCACTCACATGGCTAATGGACACGGACGACGCCCCTTAGGTCTGAAGCATTTTGAAGCTTGATGTCGTCTTTGGGACGCATCTTAAGCTCAGGGCTGTCAGAGCCGGGTCTCCCCAAATTTGTCAGCAAATTTCTTGACGTGAGAAAGTCGGAGGACGACACGCGTCACCAAAGTGGACTGTGAGCATCTGGATGCCAACACTGTAGCTCACTGGCCCTGACACACAAACCCCCCCCTTCCCCCACATCACCAGCATCTTCCTATTCTGTGCCCCACTGCAGATGATCACACCTTGCAACCCAGGGGGGTTTCCTTAAAGCCATGTCCGCATGGACATGAAGTAATTTGTGAAGTATATTTCAGTCTGTCCTGTTCCTCCTGCTCAGGGCCGTGTGCAGCTCAGTCATGTTTAACTTGCCATCATGATTTCCTGCCACTTCATCTCTCACTCTCTCCCATATCACTCTGTTCCTCCCTCGCTCGTGGCGGGACAGGCGTGTGTTTGGAGGAGCCTGTGTTTTTAAAGCAGAAATTTTTATTTTTTACAAGAGTAATATAAACTTCTCTGGGATTGGTGCGTTTTGCCTGTAGCTGTTCACTCTCTCTCACTTCATCATATGACTTCAGCTGGAGGAGGCTCTACGCTGAACAGGAACTCTCCTCTGGACCAATGACACGGGCATGTCAGTCCACCTGGGTTCTACACCTGGTCACCCTAATGTCGTCCAGTTCCTGTTCTAGTTCTCTGTTTGGATAATCGTAAACTATGGCCAGGGATGCTGGGTTCCAGGTATATCGTGTTTTTTTTCTGCCTTGAAAGTAAACCACTTCAGTTTGTTAAAGAAGTAATAAAGTACATGTTTAAAAAGCAGATGGTTGGTTTGTGCTTGTTTTGTTACCTTAAGTGACTGATTAGGACAAGTGACACCTGTATGATGAAGCTTTATTGATCCCCAAGGGGAAATTCTCTTTCTGCAGCAAAGGGTCCAGGGCCACAAACGTGCCAAGGCCTTGAACTGGTGATACATCTCACAGGCACAGAGCCCACTGAGTCACATGCTGCCCCCGTCATTATGACACATAGTGGATCATATACCCTTCATTTGGTTCACCCAGCTAGTGCCGGGTAAACAACCCCGTATGTCTCTAGAACCAGTTCAAGGTTAGATGAGCTGTGATCAGAGTGGCCTTTTTGTACACTGTTGTACTTGTGACCTTCCTCTTAGCTCTTACTGGTCTGGCCGTTTTCCTCTGACCTCTCTCTCGCTAACAAGGTATTTTCACCCACAGAAAAATGCTGCCGACTAGATGTTCTCTGTCAACTCAAGTCACTGTAAGTGTGTGAAAGTCCCATGGAGGGCAGTTGATTCTGAGATGTGTGAACCAGCAAATTTGGCACCATCAGTCACACCACAATAAAAAATATATATATATCGCACACATGACGTGTCACAGACCTGTTTATCTGCACAGTAAGTGAACGTCCTGTCCCTGTTAGTGATTCTGTATGTCTTTATACCATGATTGGCTGTCTGGAGGAACATTTTGAGTTAATAAGCAGATGAGTTAATAATCTAAAATTGTGTTGATTTTATATATTTTTTGCAGTCATGCTCAGGGACCTGACACTCAAAACCTTTGAGTATTTTGATGCTGTATTTACAAGCAAGATATTTTCGTGTCGTTATTGTTACTGGTATGTATGTTGTGCAGTCTGTAGCGCTATTAAGTGATTATTGTAAAACCTGGGTTCATGTCCAAGGTCACTCACCTCAGGTTGAAATGGTTAAGACTGCTCCATGTGCATCTTACTGGCTTTACAGCTGCAACTCTGCATACCCAAGGTGTTTTTAGTTCATCTTTAGACAGTCCTGTGTATCCAGTAGAATCTGAGAACCCCACCCAGCACTCTATCTCCATAACGCATTTCTGTTGTCTGAGTATTTGGTGCTGACAGAGGAGGGAAATGGCAAAAACCACCTCCTTAAAACCACAACACTTCACTGAAGCTTTTGCCAGAGTAAATGACTATGATTTGAAACCCATATAAAGTACAGAAGCTGTAAATGGTGAATGAATGACTTCTCTACTCCATGGTTTGGGAAACTCCACCACAGCCTTAACGCTATACCCTGTTGTCTTGGCCACACTCCAGACACGGAGGGGTATCTGGGAAAAGGGTAGGTGGAGCTGCCTGACTCAGGCTGAGAATTCCACCACATCTTGTGTGAGCTGGAGGCTTTCTGTGTATGTGGGCAGTGGTGGCTTAATGGTTAAGGAAGTGCACTCATAATTGAAAGATTGCAGGTTCGAATCCCTGACCAGCAAGGCACCACTGAGGTAGCCTAAGCAAGGTACCACCCCCAAGCACTGCTCCCCGGGCGCTGAATTAGCGGCCCCTTGCTATAGCACATATGTGTCAACAATGACAACTAATCATTTAATTCTAAAAATAATTAGAATGAATTTCCATCCTGCCCACAATCAAGTAGGGAGCTTTATAAAACTGCACTGTTAATTTTACTCAGGTTTCACCTTTCGATTGAATTTATTCCAAAATGTGATTTCTGCCCTTTTTCATGACAACTAGCAATACATCTCAATCATCCCTGAAAGCTAAATCTTTTGCCCAGTCAGACTCACTGCAGACACCCTACTACTAGCTTGCTCATGTGATCCCATAGGTACTTAGTACTTAGGTACTTTTGTAGTACCATCCTGCATTTTCGGTGAAACTGTTGCAATCCTGGACCTGGAAGTGGGTCAGACCACTTTGGGGTCAGTTTTACTGTGGTGTGAAAACTGTTTCCAGAATCAATTGAAACCCAGCTGGTGTCTCGCTGCCAGCTGAGCTTCTCCACAAGGGACAGAACCAGATGTCGGTCCTGACTGCCACACGTCTCTCTTCTCAAACAGAACCGTCAGCTGTACCCTTCCTCCATAAAGAGACCGGGCGGCTGCAATACAATCTTAGAAGCACAAACATTTGTCGTGGCGTCACTTAGGAGCGAGAAATCAGCCCCCAAAGAGAGCCCAGCCAAACATGTTAAAAAGCAGCCTGCAAGGTGAGTTCATGCAATGAATGTTAGCTAAACCTTGATGTACACCGAGCAATTAAAAACCCTTTACTGCCAATAGCACAGATGCTCAATTACAAATAAGAAAAAAGCAGTTACAGCCCCTATAGACTCAAATCAATCATGGTAAAGAAAAATAAAATATATATATATATATATATAGCAGAGTGAGGTACAAGTGAGGTAAAGTAACATCTGAGGAGGTCATGTTTAAATAAAGATAAAAATTCAGATGACATTTGTTTCAACAATTCTTTTTATGAAAGTGATTTATAAAACAAAATATTGGAAAACTACAAAATGTCCCTATAGTAAACTTTGTGATTTAATTTACAGTGAATTTTGAAGATCCTCATGCTTGTCATAGGAAGACAAGATATATTCGTTCAAGCTGTTCTAAACATTGTTGTAAACACCAATATATTAATGAACAAGTTTTACCAAGACAAAAGTTTTATATTACTCAAAAAAAATGTCAGTGAATCAATGACATTAAGACATAACTGCAATGTAGCCTGTAACCTGGCCAAAGTAGTAGTGTGCACTGTAAATCTTTTTTGTTAAAGTTCTTTTTTTTGGTTTAATAAATTGGCGTGTTACAGCAATTTATATATAACATGCAACCATGGAACCAGATGTCAACATGTTTGTGTTTAACTGTGTGGACAAAAATCCCCACTAGTCTCAAACAGAAAAAAGATGAATTACAAAGAAATGGTCATGATATCAAAAATACTTGTTAGTCAAAAGGCTGCATTATAAAACAAAACTCCAGGGGAAAAAAAAATAAAAACTACTGACCTTATTAGACAAAGCACTGAACAGTAAACCTGACCAGAAAGTGTTATACCTTCTACTGTGAAACAAACTGAGTTTTGTCATTTCTGTCCTTAAAAACAAATTTAATAATACTCTTTAAAAGGGGGAAAAATTAATGGAAGATCTTTTTCCCTCCTGACCATTTACATTTTTACCCAACCACTTCAAGCAAGAAGGTCCTTAAGGGACATATAAAATACATTTTATTGTCCTTTTTCCTGTTGTGGCATGTCCAGATACTGAGCGTGAAAGACGGCAGCTACATATCTCTGCAGTGCCACTAGATTCCCACACATAGCTACCAAACGAGACAGAAACAAGGGTGTGTGTGTGTTTGCACACGCGTGTCTTTTATAATTAAAGTAACACCAATGCAGGCCGCTGTACCCCGCCGGCCCCCTCACGTGTGTGTGTACGTATGTATATGTGTAGATGTGTCCGTGTACGTGTAAGGGAGGTAAGTTCAGGTTTGGGTCCCGGCTGCAGCGGGAACCTGAGGCCCAAGGGCATTCGGAGAGGAGATGACTGGGGACCCCGCGATGTTTGCCAGCGGCTGAGAAGCTACCATTGACGTGACACCTGCAGGAGAGAAATGGGAGGTGGAGCGATTGGTTAAATGACCCAGACCAACGTCCAGCTAACACAGAGAGAACACAGGCGAGGAGTGATGTGACCCGACATACCTGCCATCATGCTGGAGGAGCTGACCGGGGTGTTGGCGGCTGCCCCCACTGCAGATCCCATCCTCGCCTGGTCTTTCATGATGGGGTCTGTCAGCGCGGGGAAAACCGAGCAACCTGATCACTCACGGCACCCAACAGAGCCGAGGATGTGGCGCGGGCACAGGAAATACGACACGGCCAAACATCGCTACGCTGATGCTACAAAATACACACCGCAACATGCTTTCACTGTGTGGCATCGATTTCCTGTCAGATGAAACTAGTCACTGAGCCACGAAGCGCTTCTGCTGGAGATTTGTAAGAGACTATCATCTCGTAAACCGATATGCAACCAAACCAGCTGAACTATTTTGTCGTCTCTTTCTTTACTTTCCTACGAGTCTGAGTGTTTCATCAGTCCTCTTTCCTGATGGGTTTTACGGATGCAGATATCTTGTTTTTAACAACGTTCTTAGAAAGTTTAATCAGCATAGTGAAACTGAACTGAAGAAGTGAAATTCAAGACCCTTGTTTAAGACAAGATCATTTTATCACATGAACATGCCTTATCTTTTTTATCCAAACCACATTTCACATTGAACATGGCACAGTTTTACCCTGGTAAACATCACCCCTCTTATGGCCTCCTTTGCACATAAAAATTTTTGTTTACAAAGATTTATTGAGGTAATTTAACTACAAGATGATAAACATAGAAAATGTTCTGCAACACAAAATCTAAAGTCAATCAGCGCCACCTATTGATGATAAAGCTGAAAGCGCCACTGCAAGAGGGGCCTCAGAGTGTGGGGCCGCTTCTAGAATTTCCTTCTATACTTAGAATGGTGCAGAAGCACATTTAAGCACAAGAAGCCATGCTAAAAATACAGGAGTGCACAGTATTCACGGGAAGGAAATAAAAATACAGAAATAGGTGCACCCGTGTCTGGAACATAATGTGTGAAGCTGTGTCTGTCTCAGTCAGGGACACTCACAGAAGCAGGGTTCGGGTGAACTGAGGGTAGGGTGAACGAGTTAGGGGCACTCACAGAAGCAGAGTTAGGGTGAACGAGTTAGGGGCACTCACAGAAGCAGGGTTAGGGTGAACGGGTTAGGGGCACTCACAGAAGCAGGGTTAGGGTGAACGGGTTAGGGGCACTCACAGAAGCAGGGGTAGGGTGAACGAGATAGGGGGA